CTAACATGAAGAGCTGAGGGTCCCACACACCTGGCTAGGAGCTAAAGAACCAGATACTAAGTGCTGGGCCACTGACCTACACCTGTAACACTAAAAATGAAAGGTGCCTGACACGCCAAGCTCAGAGTGCTGACACAAAGGGAGCCAGCTCCACCTTGCCTAGTCTAGTCTCATCTGAATGGAGCAAAAGAACCCTCTGCCCTCAGCATACTGTGGACAGATGCAATGCCCTCTCTCAATAACTCATAACAGCAGCTGGAGAGATGGCTCAGTGGTTGAGTGTGTGCTGCTCTTGCAGAGGACCCAGGTTCAGTTCCCAGCACCCACACTGGGCAGCTCACATCACCTCTACCTCCAATGCCTCTGGCCTCAACAGGCACCTACACTCACACGTACAACCCACACAGACACAATTAAATAAATCTTTTTTAAAAAAATAATAACTGGGCCTGGAAAGATGGCTCAGCAGTTAAGAACACTGGTTGTTCTTGTGGAAGACCCGGGTTCAAATCCTAGCACCCACATGACAGCTAACAAGGGTCCCATGTAGCCCCCAGATTGGCCTGAAAAACTTGCTATGTAGCTAAGGCTAACCTGGAACTCCTGATCCTACTGTGTTAGCCTGCCAAATTACAGGCATAAATCCTGATGTGAAGGCAATCTCTTTGATTTATTGGAATCTATGTACCTTAAAGAATGCTTAACTGCCAGGCATGGTGGCACATGCCTTTAATCCCAGCACTTGGGAGGTGGGTGGATCTCTGTGAGTTCAAGGCCAGCCTGGTCTACATAGTAAGCTCCAGGCCAGCTGGGGCTACAGGGAGACCCTGTCTCAAAAACAACAACAATAATAATATAATAACAGAGGGGTTGGAGAGATGGCTCAGAGGTGAAGAGCACTGGCTGTTCTTGCAGGGGACCAAGGTTAGGTTCCCAGCACCTACATGGATGGCAGTTCCAGGGGACCAGACACCCACTTCAGCCTAAGGGCACTGCATGCATGGGTATACTTATACACATGCAGGAAAAACATTCATATATGCCAGGTGTGGTGGTGTACGTACGCCTTTAGTCCCAGCACTCGGGAGGCAGAGGCAGGTGGATCTCTGTGAGTTCAGGGCCAGCCTGGTCTACATAGCATGTTCCAGGCCAGCTGAGGCTACAGAGGCACGCTGTCTCAAAAAAAGACCAAAAAAAAAAAAAATCATACACATAAAAATAAACAAGTCAAAAATAAATAACTGATAAGAGAAAGTAAGAACACAGAAGACTGAAGCAATACTCCCAACCAATTTGACTTAACCACTCCCTCCAGTCAACTGCAGAATACACTTTTTTCTCAAGTGTCCACAGAACATTTACCAAGATACACCATATCCTGGGGCATAACACAAGTGGCAACCAATTTTAAACATTAAAATCATATAAAATAAGTCCTCTGGGGCTGGGGATGTGGCTCCATTGGTAGAGAGTTTGCTAGGATGCATGAAGCCCTGGGTGTGATCCCCAGTACCACATAAGCCCAGAGTGAGGGCACATGCCTATCATCTGGAGACTTGGGAGGCAGAGGCAGGAGGGTCAGAAGTTCAAGGTCCCTCTGCTACAAATTGAATTCAGAGTCTGGGCTATAGGATATACGATCTCAAAAAAAAAAAAAAAGAAAATACACCTTGTCTGACACAATTTGAGCTTGCTATAGGAAGAAAGTCTAGCCTATTCTGGTGTTTTCTTCCCAATAAGACAACCCGTTATACAGGCTCAAACAATTTTTTTAATAATAATGTATTTATTATTTTTATGTGTATGAGTGTTATGCCTGCATATAGGTAAGCGCACCCGTGTCGTGCAATGCCTAAGGACAGAAGAGACTGTCGGATCCCCTGGAACTGGAGTTACAGACAGTTGTTAGCTGCCATTTGGATGCTGGGATTCAAACCCGAGTCTTCTGCAAAAATAGTCAGTGTTCTTAACCACTGGGCCATCTCTCCAGCCCCTCAAACAATTTTTCTAAATGTCTTGTAGCAATTCTAATAATGATTATGGTATACTTATTTATTCAATTTTACCACAGAAATAAGCTTTCAGAAATTGTTAATACATCTATATTAAGTGGTAATGATAACAGAAGTAATATAATCAAATTTATAATATTTTAAAGTTTCAGTCTTAGGAAAAAAAAAAAGTATACCAGCTTGGTGGCACATGCCTTTAATACTAGCACTTGGGAGGCAGACAGGCAGATCTTTGTGAGTTTGAGGCCAGCTTGGTCTATGTAGAGTTCCAGGTAAGCCAGGGCTACATAGTGAGATCTTGACTTGTAAATTAATTAAAGTGTGGCTGCTAATACTGTCAATCTGACAGGATCTATGATCCCCTAGGAGACAAGCCTCTGAGCATGCCAGAGAAGGGTTATCTAGATTTGGTTAACTGAGGTGGGAAGCTCTACTTTAACCCCAGACAGTACCATTCCACAGACTGAAGTAAGCTAGGCATGGTGGCACAAGCCTTTAATCCTAGCACTCAGGAGGCAGATACAAGAGGGTCTCTGTGAGTTGACATCAGAGTGGTCTATATAGGGAGTTTCAGATCAGCCAGGGCTACCAGTTAGACCCCTGAAAAAAGGAGAAAGTGAGTTGAGCATCCATCACTGTTTCCTGTTTATGATGCAGTGTGTCCAGCCACCTGCAGTTCCTGCAGTCATGAATTTCCTGCACAACAGGCTGTGCCCTGTAACCGTGAGCCAAAGGAAACCCTTTCCCCTTTAAATTGCTCTGGCAGGCAGCTGAACAGAGAAAAAGTACCTAACACCTAAGTCCTCTGTTTGGAAAGAAATTTAAATAGAAGTCACTGTCTGTGGGGCAGGAGAAGGAAGTAACACAGTAACAGGGCAATGCTGAGTCTGCTCCTTTTACTCATTTACCGGATAAATCTGCAGTAGAATTCAAAGTTATTGTCAGGGTTTCAAAGGAGTAAGCTGGTGTTACAGCTTAGAAGTTCATAGTGGAGACTCTGCCTTCTCCTACCCATCCTAAGCCCCAGGGCCTGGCTTGTCAGCCCCAGCTCAATCAAGACAAACCTGTTTGGTATTCACTCAGTCCTCCATGTGGCTACTGAAAGCAGATGAGAGGATGGAGGGGGCGCCTGATACACAGAAAAACCTCTAAAGCCTGCAAGACTGGCCATCATGGAAACTTGGGTGTCACAGGGCAGCATCTAAGGACAAATCAGAACCTTCCAGCAACTCCAGATCCCAAGAGAAAACTTCTATCACATTTACACCACAAAAGAGATCTAACTGGACTAAAACAAGGTCTTCAATGACCTCATTAGGTCAGTCTGGGAAAACCCCACTGCACTGGCCAACAGTGTCCAGAAATGATTCATGTGATTTTTTAAAAATAATTTATTCCAAAGACCTTTTAATGGCACCTTAGCATCCAAGTAATAAGCAAAAGTGACAAGAGCCTTTAGTAATCATGTCACTTCCAAGCCACCAGTGGCCCAGCAGTTCTACAAGTTTGTGTTAAGATCAGAATCACTCAGCATGTGTGTTAAAAATAGCCTCCTGGGATCCCCTCCAGATACTATCACAAGAATCTCCAGAGGTGGGGCTCTGTATTTTTAACAGGCATCACAGAAAATTTTTAAGCTCCACTCCACCAGGCAAACTAAGGAATCGGGGAGGTACTATAACAGAGGCTAAAGGAACATTTGCTTTGAAGAGACAAGAGGGTTAAAAATCCCAACTCTGCCACTCACGGGCTGACAACAGCCAAGTTATCTAGCATCTCTACAACTCCCTAGACTGGGATCATCACCAACTCAGTATGCAGTCTGTTCAGAGTGCCCCAAGGACAGCACCCAGCACAGGGCTGCCTCCCAAGCAATCAGAGCACCCAGCCACCAGAAACTGCCCCACTAAAGCAGTCCTTCATGTTTTCTACTTAATGGAAATTACAAAGGCCCTGGGCCAGATTTCTAAGATAAACTAGGAAGTTTTTTCTGGGCACTGTGACTGATGGTCAAAAACAAAGACTTAATTCAGCGACCTGATTTTCACCCTCAGCTCTCAGTCCCACCCAGAATGCCCACACCAGGTTCCTCCAGCGCTGCAGCTCTGGACCTCAGCCAAAGAAGTCTCTTAAGTCCTCAGTCACTACCAGCTTGTAAGGTGACAGTCACAGAACTCGAGTCAGAGTGACACATCTTGAGTAGAGACTCCTGGGTAAGAGGCAGGCAACAATGAACCAGGAGGAAAAGGGCCTGAGACCTGGGACACTGTGAGGACCCCCGGCTCAAGGTAGATGATCCTAGCACGATGACAAGGTCTAGCTGACAAAGCCCTGCCTGCACTCAGGAGCTATGACCCTGTGGTATAGTCAACTCTGCCAGGAACTCACAACACAGCCCCAGGGAACACCTTCCCCCAGCCGGCTCAGAGGGGAAAATAAAGTGGAAACAGGGATATACTGGGACCATGTACACCTGTCCCTTTGTAACTGAGTGGCCCAGGAGTATGGACTGCTTGGCCACGCTGGGCAGTCCAAGTCGGGATTCAGAAGAGAGGGTAAGAACAGAGCCCAACCTCTCACTACCCTGGGGGGAAAAGACAACAGGCCAGCAAACCAAAGGCCGGAATCCTTTCAACACTACCCGCGGAGCGAGCCAGACGCACTTAGGCCTCAGTTTCCCCAAATGTACAACCGGCAAAGAGGTCTTTTTGAAGACTCAGTGACCATGGGATGTTCAGACACCGGGGCGAGGGGCAGCGGGGTAGTCAATAGAGGGGTGCTAGGGACTGGGCCGTGGCGACCTACGGAACCAGCCTTCCTCCCTCCCACGGCGGAGCCGACTGTGGCGCCGGCCACGGCAAGTCACGCGCCCCTCGTGCCCAATCGCCAGCCTCAGCCGGGCGGGCGGCAGGCGGGAGCCCCCGGAGCTCGGCCGGCAACGCCCCCAACGCGGCCCGCACGCCCGGGACCCTCCCCAGCCGCGCTCACCTGCCGGGCGCCGCCACCGCGGACTCTCTGCAGCTGCGCCCGCACTTCCGGGATCCGCGAGTCCCGCCCCCGCCGGATGTGACTCCCAGCCCGCGGCCTCGCCCCGAACAGCGCGCTTCGGGCGTCCAGTCCCGTGGGCCTCGGGGTTGCTACCACACCCGCCCGGACACGCGCTCGTGCCCACCGGTACCACACCCGTGGAAGGCCACCAGGTTCCGCCCCCTAGCCGCCAGCCCCGTCCACCAGCTCCCCAGAGAGTGCGCCTGCGCGTCTCTGCTTGGACGCAGTTCCACTTCCGAAGGCTAGTTGCAGTCGCCCAGTGGAGCCAGAAAATGCGTGGAATCTCCTAAGGGAAGCTCCCCCAGGTGGGCTAGCCTCGGAGTGCGGCGCCACTGGTCAGCCGTACACACTCATTTCCATAGTTTGGCTGAGTGTGCCCTTCAGAGTCTACAAAAGACTGTGAGGCGGTTCCCCAAAAGTCACCCTTTCCCAAGACCCTAGATAGCACTGAGTCCGCCGTGGGTGGGTAGCCTAAGCCACAGCGGACCTGATCCATCCTCGCTCACCTGGAGTGAAGAGACCCAGAAAGGCATGGGAACCACGCCTCTCAGCAGCACTGGTTATCAGGTTGTGTCTGTTTAAAAATGGGGACCTGGGGCTGGGGAGATGGCTCAGCGGTTAACACTGACTGTTCTTGCAGAAGACCCGGGTTCGAATCCCAGCACCCACATGGCAACTAACAACTGTCCGTAACTCCAGTCCCAGGGGATCCGACGGCCTCTTCTGTCTTCCGCCGGCATTGCACAACACGGGTGCACTTACCCACATGCAGGCATAACATTCATACACATAAAATAAAAATAATAAATAAAATATTTTAAAAACAAAATAAATAAAAAGGGGACCCAGGCAGGCAAGCCTAAGAAAACCAGGCCACCTAAACGCCAGACCTTGTTCGAGGTTAGAGCCTTCATTGCTAGTGGCAACTCCCTAGACTCAAATCAGCTTCTGCAAAACCGGAATCCCTGGGTCACAAATAGGGAAAGCCCAGGGGCTGTCTTGGCTGCAGTGTGTGGGCTCATTCTAGTCACGTGTCATCCAAGGCCTCCAGCTGCTGCATTTGACTCTTGGTTCTATCCACACAAAACATAGCTCTCACCTCAAAGGGAATGAGATAGTTTATTCTGGGCCAAATATGAGTGACCATGGCCTAGGAACACAGATTGAGGTTGCCCTAAATAATAGGTTCCAATGTGGAAATAACCTCATATTTTTATAGTAACAGAACGAAAGACATAAATCAAGGCATTTTTCAAATGCATTCTTGGAAACACCAGATTACAGCAAAGCAGGAAACTCCGTACTGCGGGCTTCAGATGCTATGTGATGACATTCTTAGCTTTTACTTTGAGGAAAGGCAGAGGTCTGCTGAGTTAACATGTTCCAAAAGGTCTTACCTCATAATCACAAGGATGTTAAATCATTATCCTGGAGCTCCCGCACCCTTACCACTTCAAAAGTCACCAGACACCCTAGGGATTAAGGGCCCGTGTGTCACGTGATCAGCCTTCACCAATCAGTGGCCACTCGAGCTCAATTACTATTTCTTTTTTTTAAATAATTGGGTTGTTTTTTTTTAATGTGTATAAGTGTATTGCCTGCATGTGTGTAAGTACACCTGTGTCATGCAATGCCTGTGGAGGTCAGAAGAGGGTGTGGGATCCCCTGGAACTGGAGTTACCTTTGGTTGTTAGCCACCACTGGGTGAAGGAAATTGAACCCAAGTCCTCTGCAAGTGTAATCAGTGCTCTTAACTGCTGAGCCATCTCTCCAGCCCAAATTTTCTTGTTTTATAATAGCTTTACTGAAGTGTATTTCCCTTTTTTTATACAGTCCAGGACCTAACCCCAGGTAGTGATGCCACCCAGTTTTAGCCTTGGTTGTCCCACATCAATGAATACAATCAAGACAATTCCCCACAGACACGCTCAAAAGCCAATTTGACCTAGACAATCCCTCATTGAGATTCCTTCCCAGGTGGTTCTAGATTGACAAGTTGACAAAACTAACCATCACAATAACTTACTGTTTCTCTCAAAGAGTAAAAAGAACTGGGGATGTGGCCCCAGCATCTGCCAATGAGGGAGAGTCCTCTGGTCCCCAAGGCAAAGACACCCATAATGTAAGGAAACAGACATTTCAGATGGACCACGAAAAGCCACCAGCTGAGCATGAATGCCTCTGCTCAAGGTGCCTAAGACTGGATGTCCCCAATGCCCTGCTTGTAGCTCTTTAATAGCAAATGCAGGACCAGGCCATGGTGGTGCAGGCCTGTAACCCCATACTCAGGAAGCTAAGTCAGGAGAATAGAAAAAAAGGAGAGGGGAGAGGGGGACCACCCGTAATCCCTGCACCCAGAATACTTGGGAGATAGAAGCAGAAGAATCAGTTCAAGATTATCCCCAGCTCTGTAGTGAGTTCAAGGGAGGGAGCCAGCCTGGGATACATGAGACCCTGTTGAGAGAGAGAGAGAGAGAGAGAGAGAGAGAGAGAGAGAGAGAGAGAGAGAGAAACTAAGAGAGAGAGGAGAGAGAGGAGGGAGGGGAAGGGAGGGAGGGGAAGGAAGGAAGGAAGGAAGGAAGGAAGGAAGGAAGGAAGGAAGGACCGACCTTGGTGTCAGCTGTAAAAAGATTCCAGGAAGCCAGACAAATCCCGCACCATAGGGCCTGCTGGAGAACAAATGACAAGCCAGCCCTAGCAGCCCCAGGACCAGCTGAAGGTCAGATGACACCCCGATGGATCCATAGGCTGGACCTGGAGGTCACCCTTTCAACTCCACAGCTGGCCAGCCCCAGCTACTGGCTGCAGTCTTGCATCTAGGTGACCCTGTGTCAGGACCCAACCTGGGACTCTCCAGTTCCAAGTACCAGTCCCTGCTTTGGCACCAATCCAGCCTGATCTTGGCCAAGAACCTGCTGCCTGAAATGCTAGGAACTGAGCCAGCGCTTAGCCTCCTTAAGACACCACTTGACATGAAGAGACTGTTTCCTCCACCCCTCCATTCTGGACATGCTTACTACATACAGTAGGCATAGCAGGCATGAATTTGAGCCCAGAATACATAATAAATTGCCTCTGATACTTTGGTAGCACTTCCTATGAATCTAAGCACCACCCTATAAATATTAATTCATTCAGTTGTGATTTTGTCCATTTAAAGATAAAAAAAAAAAGTAGGGGCTACAGACATAGCTTAAGTTGTTAAGAGTGCTTGTACAAAGATCTAAGCTCAGTCCCCAGCACCATAGAAACTGGGTGTGGGCATGTGCCTGTAACCTCAGCACTTGGGAAGTAGAGGCAAAAGAATGAGAAATTCAGGGCTGGAGAGATGGCTCAGCAGTTAACACTGACTGTTCTTGCAGAAGGCCTGGGTTCAAATCCCAGCACCCACATGGCAGCTAACAACTGTCCATAACTCCAGTTCCAGGGGATTCGACAGTCTCTTCTGTCCTCTGCAGGCATTGCATGACACAGGTGCACTCACCTACATGTAGGCAATACAGGCATACACATAAAATAAAAATAATAAATAGAAATAAAAAATAAATAAGAATGAGAAATTCAAGGTCATCCTCTGCTACATGACAAGTTCAAGGGAGCCAGGGATACATGAGACCCTGTCTCAAAAAGAAAAGAAAGATACAGAAAAGACTAAATAGTTTGTCCAAAGTCATATAGCTAGTCAATGACTGAGGTTGGATTTGAACCCAGAGCCTCTGGCTCCAGGGTTAGTTTCTTAAGGTTCACCTTCTTAGCCATAGCTCCTTCTGCTACAGGGTGACATACTAATGTCCTCAGTCTGTGGGAAGGTCAGAGGAATGCCCCTCCAAGAACTTGGACCTGAGTGAGGTCCAGTCCTAGAGCATCCTACCAGTTCCCCCTTGCAGGCTCTGCAGTGGGCCCTGGCATCCACCATGACTTTATGTTAGCATAGCCACAAAGCCACACATGGAGAGCCACCAAGCCATGCATGGGGAGCCACTGAGCCATGCATGGATGCCACCTGCCCTTCCCCAGTGTGTTCCCATGCTGTCTCTCCTGGCACTCTCCTCACTGTGCCCTCCCTACCTGTGGGCACTCACTCCCATGCAGTGTCACCTCCAAACACTGGAATGGGTGGCAGTCCCCAAAAGGTCCTAGAACATGGCAAAGCCATTGCCTGTTTACCTCCTCTCTACATCAGAAGCAGTCCTCACCTGTGATGTTATCCTTTCCTTCTCTCCCACAGCTTCTAGGACAGGAAGGAAATGCACATTGCCAAATAGTGCCCACACTTGCCACTTGTCCAAGGGGCTTGGCAGAGAGCTCAATAGCCACAAAGCTAACAACAGAAGTTGTCAAAATAAAGTCAGTCAGCCTCCATGCTCCTTGTCCTAATCTGAGAAATCTCCATAGAACAATTCTAGTTCTGTGTTTATTTGGATTTTTTTTCCAGAGTGTTTGAGATGGGTCCTCATTATATAGCCCAGCTGACTTCAAACGCAAAATGCCAAGGCTGGAGAGATGGCTCAGCAGTAAAGAGCACTTTCTGCTCTTCCAGAGGACCTGAGTTCCATTCCCAGCACCCATGTCAAGAAGTCAGATAACTTCAGCTCCAGGGAGTCTAGTGCCCTCTTCTGGCCTCCATAGGTACCCACACACATGGCATATACTTACACAAATACAGACACACACACACACACACACACACACACACACACCCATAAATAAATATAATAAAAATAAAATTTTAAACTGAAATCCTCCTGCCTCAGTCTCCCAAATGTTTGGATTATGAGAATGCACTACCCTGCCAGTTTAGTTCCATACTGTGTCCTTCTGGGGAAGGGTCAGGCATGTGCACACATCTGAACTCTGATCTCTTGTAGGAAACCAGGATGGCAGGTCCTAGGGTGAGATGAGCCTAAAACTTTTTAAGTCCAGGCTACGTTCTCTGCTAAAGGGAGAGGCGCTGAAAACAGCAGCTCTGATATCCCTGTCTTGCAGAATACTGCAGGGCTAGCAAGAGTAAAGCAGCCAATTCAAAATGCTCCTTGCTCCATGGGAAAGCATCTTGGTCAACAGCCCTGAGCTCATCTCCCTGTCCTAAACAAATAACTCAACTATC